TTGCCTCTTTTGAGGCGCCGGACACTCGCTCTTGCGAGCGAGACAATGTGTGTGAAAATCTCGCCTCTGAAGACGAGACTTTTGCACCCTTCAACTAGGGGGCCGATGGCGATTTCTTAGAATTCAGGCTCTGCCGGCTGTTTCCAGCACTAGCAGGGGCTGGAATGACTGGGGCAGTCTGGACTGCAGCCTCCGCCGGTACTTTGGAGAACCCTGCACTTTCGCTGTGCATAGCGCAGGCTGCCATCGATAACTGGCTTTTAGCCAGCAACCCTGGGGTAAACAGACTTTGGTGCTGGTTGGGTGCAGCAGACTGAACTACTGCCACCCCGGGAGCAGTAGCCCCGAGCTGACAGCTCGCTGTGTGCGGGCTGTGCAGGTGACGATAGCTGCTGCGACGCTGCCCCCCGACGTGCCGCATCAGCACAAGTGTGTTCTAGAAAGGAGAGACCCTCTTCCGGGCTTCCTTGAACGATATATTTTCCTTGACTTTAAGAGTGGTTATTTCTTTTTCTTTCTTCCAGTTAGGACAAGAACGCGAATATGCGGCGTGTTGCCCGACAGAATTCACGCAGTGAGGCGTAGTAACACAGTTATCAGATGAGTGGCCGTGGCTATCACATCTTGCACAAGTTTCTTGACCCCGGCAGTTCTGCAAGCCATGAACAAATCGTTGTAGGGACGAACAGAGAGTTTGATGTAGCCTGTGTCTATAGATAAAGGCAATGTGCTAGATGCGAAAGTGAGTATTAAATGTTTGGTAGGCATTTCTTTGTTGTCGCGTCTGATGACGATTTGTTTCACAACCTTGACATTTTGCTCCTTCCACCCTTCAAGCAGTTCCTGTTCAGACATTTCAAGAAGGTCTGCTTCTAAAACAACTCCACGTGACGTGTTCATTGATCTATGAGGTGAAACAGATACTGGGATATTACCAAATGCTACGAGACTGCCAAGTTTTTCATAGTGATGTTTTTCAGGCAGCTCAAGGAGAAGGTCTCCGCTAGCCATCTTTGTAACTTTGTATCCCGGGCCAAAGACCTCAGTCAGAGATTTGGCAACAAGAAATGGAGATATGGCTCTGGCTTGTTTTGTTGGATTTTCGCTGTGCACAACATGGAATTTCGGAAAGCATTGTCTGGGTTGGCTGAAAACTGATATTTCATCGGTGCGTCCCCTTTTAAGCGGAAGACGATCTAGGAGACGGGGAAATGCAGGTGTTCCCATAGTAGTGTACTTTTTTTTTCGGCAGCAATGGCGACCACCCACCATGGAGTCCAACCAGGGGCGCTGAAGCACTTAATAGCACAAGGCTGCAGATGCCAGCCGTACATTGCCACTATAACCAAATATAACTACTCAAGGTTGAGTAACTACACAAGGTTAACCCTTGCCACCAGGAAAATTGGAAGTAAACAGAAGAGAGAAGTAGACAGGACAGACTAAAAGTGAGAGATAAAGACGAAGTTGTACGGGAGAGAGATAGGAAAAGGTGACTGCCCAATTCCCCTGGGTGGGTCAGCCCAGGGCTGCCGTCTACGTGAAGCCGGGGCCAAAGTGTGTTGCCTCTGCCGGGGGGCCTTAAAGGTCCAATCACCTAGCGTTGGCTCAACCTCCAGGATCCCCTTTTCCCCAGACATGGCTCAGCCACGCACGGCTAGGCGTGGGAGGGAGCCAAAACTGCCCCATTAGCTCGGGTCCAAGGAGTCATTAACATCAAACGCCTACTTGCGCAGGCGCCCCTGTGGGGCCAGCTATTCATAAGTGGAGTAGCTTCAAGAGCAGTACAAAGAGTTTTTTTCTGAAGAAATACCAGGAAACAAGAGATTTCCAATCACGCTGGAGCTGCATGAGGACGCTACGCCAAAATGTTTTAAAGCTAGGTCAGTACCTTTCTCCCTACGAATGACAGTCCAGAAAAAGCTTGACCCGAGAAAAAGCTTGACTGACTGCACGAACAAGGAATCATCGAACTGATGCAACGTTCAGAATGGGCTACACCACTTATTGTCGTCTGAAAAAAAAAAAAACAAAAACGGTGCCTTACGCCTCTGCAGAGACTATACCGAAGCACTGTCAACCTGGCGACAAAAGCATCTTCCTATCTACTACCAACACCAGAAGAGGTTTTTAGTACACTTCGTTGTGAAAAGATCTTCACCACTTTGGACTTTACACAAGCCTACTGCACCTGAAGGTGAGTGAACCGTCTAGACTACTCATGATAAACACAATTAAGGGTCTCTACACAGTGAAACGCTACCATTCAGCATAGCTATAGAGCCAGCAATCTTCCAGAACTTTATCAGTCTATGCTTGACGGGATCCCTAGAGTTTGCATCGCCTTAGACGATGTTTTTGTCGGTGGCCCCTCCATTGAAGAGCACGCAGCACGCTTGGAGCTTATTCTTCAAAAGCTATCAAATGCTGACTAGCGCATCAGAAAACAAAATGTGTGTTTGCAGTGCTTGAAGTGAATTTTCTTGGACATCAGATATACGCGTACAGTATTCATACCACTGAAGACAAAATGCGAGCAATCAGTAAAGCCCGAGTGCCTACTTACAAGCAAGGACTGCAGTCGTTCTTGGCATTATTAAGTTCTACAACTAATTCTTAGAACATCGAGCTACCGTGGCTAACGATCTTACCAGGCTGACACTCTCGACGTGCTAGAATTTGAGAAGACCAAAAGACACACCGAAGCACAAGTAGGACACACACGAGCGCGAACAAACAACTGAGTTGTTAGTTCGCACTCGTGTGTGTCCTACTTGTGCTTCGGTGTGTCTTTTGGTGTTCTCAAATTCTAGCCCGTTCTGAGCGTCAACCAACCAGCCCCTACTCTGGCCCTTCTAACTGTAATCTTACCTGCTGCTGCAGAAAGAAGTCCCATGAACTTAGTCGCCATGCAGGTAGAGACATTGCTGCCATGAAGAAGTGTGCCAAAGTTACATGTGGTGGACAGGTATCGACCATGTCATAGAAGTAACAGTGTGAGATTGCCTGCCTTGTCAATGCAACCACAGAGCGTCACAAAGAGACCCCTATACCTGAATGGGAAAGACCAGACACCCCTAAGCACACCCTGCACAATGATTTTGCCGGTCATATCAACGGGTGTACATTCCTGGTGGTTGTAGACGCATGCTCAAAATGGCTTAGGTAAAGCAAATGACTACATACAACATCAGCAGCAGTCATCAACATTCATCGATCAGTTGTTTGCAACGTTCGGCCTACCACGCAAGGTAGTCTCGGAAATGGCACTTCGTATGTGTGCACGGAAACCCTCAAATTCTACAGCGACAACGGCGTCTCATCTTTACATCAGTTCCTTAATACCCGGCAATAAACGATCAAGCTGAGTGCAACGTGGCAGAACTTAAACGCACACTTACAAAAGATCATACTTTGACGATCCAACACCGCATCGTGCACTTTCTCTTCAAGCAGCACAACACTGTTCAAAGCACCCCAAGGCAAATGCCAGGAAGATTGATGTATGGACGAGAAATGAGAATTCAGCTGACAGCAATTGTCCCAGAGCCCACATGGAAACACCATTGGGAGAAGAAAAGCTCCCGCGTAGCAGGGGAATTGAAATTGCACATCGCGTTACACACCTCAATTTAGCGAAAAACCTGACTGGATTGAAGCGACGACACTTAATCGCATGAGTTTGCAGTCATGGCTCGTCGACATAGGCAGAAGGGCCCACTCACCGCAACTTCAGCTACATCATTCAAGGAATTTGCCAAGGGAGGCTCCTTTTCAACCAGACACCACGACAGAAGTGTCGTCACACATAGCCTGGCATCTCGCACCTGATGAATCGGCGCCACCACCAGCCGGACCGGGACGCAAGGACAATGACACGCAGCAAGCGGAGCCTTCACCGAACGCACCCATAGCATCTCGCCCGTCTTTGTGTGCGTCTGTCCGCCTGTCTGTCCATCCATGTTGTCCAGGTCTTTCCCTGGCCAGGTCCACGAAACTTTCGACTATCAATACTACACCAATAACCAGTATAACACAGAAATTCCTATCAATAAGAGAACAGAAATACCAAAATTACAGATCTACTCATTTCTACGTTTTTCACAAAAAAAATTTTATAATTATTTTTACATGTCCTGCCAGCACTGTAATAGTCGCTTGTCAAGGTCCACGAGACGCTTCACAGAAGGCGAGCCATGTCAGAGTTATTTTCAATCGCACTTTTTATGCCAACCAGTACAGCTGCCAAAATTCACTTACATCACCCCCTCCCCCTCGACACCTTATTTGTGCAGGGTCCTGAATAACACCCGTAGTCAGGAATTGTTTTCGGCTTGGGGGGGGGGGGGGGGGGGCTTGTTGAAAGCCGTGATAAACTGGTATTTCCATTATTTATTCACAATAAACCAATTATTTTCCGGTGCTCTTGGGCAGAGTACGTGTTCACCCAGATAAAGCAGTCCATACATGGCTAAAGTAAGGCAATGTGTAGGCTATCACACACGTTTAGATCGACAGCTATCTGGATTGCTATGGATGGTTCTAGAAACCAGATAAACAAGCAACGATTTCAAAAGACATCGAAGAAATGTCTTACATCTCGGGCAATGGACAGACATGAGTTAAAGAAAACAACTACCTGTAACACGATTGGTTTTGTACCTGAATTCTGCACTCCTGTTCATCTCTTATGAAGTGGAACTAAGGTCTAATAATGCATATTTTCATTCCCTTGAGGCTCTATTTATTGAGAGTCTACCGTATTCGATTGGTTATTCTAATTAAGACCGAAAAAAACAGCGCTGGAAGGTTGAAGAACGGCAGACTTCACATCGTTCCTTTCATCGTCCAGCGCCCAGTTAGCAATCCTGCTGGTCATTTCGAATTTTCTAATGTTTGCTCACCCCTAATAAACACTTTCTCCTCAGCCTCATGAATGCTTTTTGTACTCCTTCGTAACACAGAAATAAATGTGGCTTTGTTCACATTAGAACACGTACCTGCATATCTTCTGCACCGTGGAACTGTTGTAGATCAGGTTGCACAAGGTTTTCAAGGCCTCCACCACCGCTGCAAAGGGTGTGTTAAAGCACTGCATTCTATTGCAATGAACAACTGTATACACTCAGCCATGCAAATAATTCAACTAGTCCCCACAAAACTACGCTGATTTCATACACTCACCAGGAGTGCATTCAAATTGGAGCTCAAAAGTCCAAATTTGGAGCAGGTTACGGGGTAAAAATCATACATTTCTTTATCATGAAATATCAAATTTGAAGCAGTAAAAATAAAAAGCCTTACATTTTGAAAATATATAAATATATGTATAAACCATTCAGCATCACCTAACATGAACATGATATGCGAGGTTTAACGTCCCAAAACCACAATATGATTATGAGAGATGCCGTATTGGAGGACACCGGAAATTTCGGCCGCCTGGGGTTTTTTAACGTGCCCCCAAATCTGAACATGGACCTACGGCGAAAATGCAGCCGCTGCAGCCGGGATTCAACCCCGCGACTTGCAGGTCAGCAGCGGAGTACCTTAGCCACTAGACCACCGCAGTGGCGCCTAACATGAATATGAGCACTGCTATCTCAATGAAAGTAGTATTTTGAACCACCTCACTGAGCAAACAGTGATGAAGTCTATATTAGCATTTTCTTTAACTGTAAAATCATTGGATAGACTCTGCAAATTGAAATATAAATCAGCCAAGCTGGTGACCTTGAAATATGGGAGATTCGTAAAAACGAAGAGTAGGGGTGGTGAAAAAAAACTCACGCATAGTTCTCACGCATAGTTTAGCTTGTTTTTTTTTTTTTTTAGGGAAGCAGAAATATCTAACACTGCTCTACATGATTTCCAGTAGCTTATTTAGACATCAGTGATTATACTGATACTGAGAATATGCAGCAAACGAACACATGAGTAACCTAGCAATATGTGCAGTGTACCGTGAATAGCGCTCACAGCCCCTTCCAAATCTCAATACATCGATTTTCCACTGGGCGCCGGTATACTGTGGCGAAGGTGGCTTAATCAGCATTCTCTGCAAGGGTTAGAACCAAAGCCAAGAAATTTTCTAATCGCTACACATTTCCCCTTCCCTTCCCACCTTTTTTAAATGCGAATGCATTTTTTAGTCGGGCTATGTAGGACATCCAGCGATGTCCGCAGCGCCGCTCTCACTCCCTCTCCCATAGCAGCAGCTGCAAGTGCATGTGCTTATCCTCGCCCATGTGGTGCGAGAGATTGTAGGAGAGGGTAGGTGCAGTGCTTCGCTGCTTCTTCTCTGCCCGTTCACTTTCTCCTCCCTGCACCCCACAATCTTGTCTGCTTGGGCCTCACTCTCAACTGTTTGCTGGCTGGGCGCCTCTCAAGAACGTCCGGGAATGCGTGCTCAAGACGCCACTTTGAAATTACAATGTCAAGCCGAGAACGCTGTTTGTTTTACAGGTATAGTACACCGGGCTTACTGGGATACCGCACTTACCATGATAGCGGGATCGAAGTGCGCACTTACCATGATATGTTCCAGCAAACAACTGTTTAAAGTGGCCTCACTTGCTTCAAGTTAGCTTCGATGACCAAGTATTACGGATAAGACAGCGTCATTTTAGAGATAGTTTCCCATTTCGAACGTGTCTAGACCCAACTACAAGGTCGATGTAAGCAAATTGGCAACACCAATGTTTTCGCGTTTGGTGCGTGGTTCATATTTATTCACTTTTATTATTACTAAAATAAAGTTGTAACAATGCTTCGCACGGTGAAACAAGCAGACATTCTCATTTTCTTTTCTTTCCCTGTTCTTGCTTCTCAACCCTCCGACAGATGGTGCCACTATCCCAGCTGGGGCACGTAAGCCCTGTAAAGGCTATCCCGCTAAACTATAAGGCGCTGTACACAAGGAACGTTTGCTGCACGGTAACACCATTCCTTTAACCTCCGCTATCAGGCTAACAGTAAACTACCTGTCTGTATTTTTTAACCCTGCATGCTAGCTACTTGAGCTGGAAACGCATGCAGTGTTTCTCGCAACATTCTTCTAACGTTGGTTCTTACATGCAAAACACCGTTATGGACGCCATGCAATGCACTCTGATTCTCTCATGAGACCCTTCGGGGAGGTGGGGGTATTTTTTACTGCTTTCTCCGGGGGCGGTTACGTGCCCTTTGTCTGGCGAGGGTAGCGGATATCTATCGCCAGGATCGTGACTGGGACAATGCAACTTCAAAATAAAACAAAAAATGTTTAATGTGCCACTGCTTATGCAATCAACGTGGTCGCTGGCAACGCCGGTGTTCACAGCTTGTTCGCTCGAGAAAAATGCGGCCTTCGCTTGCACCTTTAGTTCCTAACAAGCTATAGCCACGTTCTCACACTAAAAAATTTACATTTCCCGCCAAGCATAGGTGGCTACAGTAATGAATTTTTGTCTTGAAGTTCCGTCGTCCCGCTGATAGGTATCTGCTGCGGACAACAGAGCGATGAGCCCGCAGTGTTGTTACTTTATCTGGTTATATTTTGAGTACACTCTAGGCCCTATAGTTGGGGTCTGTGAGCTTTAACTGATGGAGCAAACTGCAGGTCCCCGACGTGGCCTGAATTTCTCCCCGAAATCAGCGCACCTCAAAAAACTTGAGGCTGCTGGGCGTTTTGGTGCAGCGTGGCGCAATTTCAGCAAATTTCACGGCTTTGGCGCAGCTCGACACAACAATTGGAAAATGTATCAAATCGGCGCAATGGACACAGCTGTTGCACCCCTGACTAACACAACTACTCATAGAAGTAAATTTTTTAACACTTTCATGCATAGGTCATGTAATACTTTACAATAGTCCATCATAAAAGATGATAAAACATTAATTAGAACTAACAGTCAATAAGACCAGACAAAGCATAGGGGATGTTAATATAAGTAAATGCAATGTAAATGAAAAAAAAAAAAACAAAGTGCATGAAAGGATCACTTGCCACTGGCAGGATCCGAACCTGCGACCTTCGAATAACGTGTTCGATGCTCTACCACTGATTGTGACGGTTTCTCTCGCCATTCACTTTATAGGGTATGTATGTAACTGACCAGTAATCCCTCGCATACCACCTCAAGGCATCAAGTCTGCCAGAACAAGACCCTCACTAAGAATGAAGGAAAGTTAGCTTCAAGGGCTCGTTTTCTTTGTTTCACACAATATTAATGAGAACCAACAGACAATAATGCCAGGGAAAGCATAGGGGGTGTTAATATAAGCAATCTTAATATGAATGAAAAGAAACGAAGTGAATGAAAAGATAACTTGCCACCGGCAGGATCCGAACCTGCGACCTTTGAATAACGCGTTCGATGCTATACCACTGAGCTGTGGTGGCGGTTTTCCCGCCATCCACATTATAGGGTATAAGCATGCGTTTAAACGTGGAAACGTCAGTCAGTGCCACCTATTTCCATGGCAGCAAGTTTGGAACACTCTTCTTGCTTGTTTGGCGTCTCGTAGTACTTGATCTTATTACGAGAAGGTAGCTGACCAACAATAATCCCCTGCATACCACTACAGTGCATCAAGTCTGCCAAAACAAGACCCTTGCTATGAATGAAGAAAAGTGTAAATTTAAGGGCTCGTTTCCTTTTTTAAAGAAACGAACCCTTAGAACTATGAAGCATGTACCATAAAACTGCACATTATGAGGGCAAAGAACCTCGCGAATGATTTCTAGTCTAATGACTGTTTTTTTAAACTCGTTTAGACTGTGCTCACTTTTTTTCGCAGTGCGTGACTTGGGATTTAAAACGAAATAATCTTTGTACCTGAAGACTATAAACATCTCTGCAGTTTGGTTACACCCAGTCACGGACAACTAAATGTTCTTCATAAACAAGTAATTGATCAATAACTTTGAATTCAGTGTTCCAGCTCTCATAGCTCACGACAACACGTTTTGACTGCATGTATCAACACGTGATCATTCATTCACATGCCGTTTGACTGCTATATCCTGTATACCGCTTAACTGCTGTATCCCGTATACATCCACTCGGCTATACTTACACTCAGTACATCATTCCTCTCAGATCTTATCTGTAGATATATGTGCAGGTGTGTTAAGACATGTATAGTTTTGGATGTAATAATACCGTATTTACTCGTGTAATGAACACACTACTTTTTTTCGAAAATTCAGAGCAATGTTGACCCTGCTGTTGGTTTGAATATTCGAACCACTCGAATATTCACACAAGCCTACTTTAACTCCTTGATTACAACTCGAAAATAGTTATTTGTCACATGTCTTGGGAAGATAGTTTTCGCTAGTTCGAGAAGTACTTAAGCACACATTGCAGAATACCAAATTTTCCACAATAAATTCTCTTTCTGAGAAATATATGTTGTAAGGCAACAAAAATATTTTAGAATGAATAAAAATGAGAAAAGTGTGCAATTTTTGGTTACCAACTGGTACAATATATGCAAGAATATTTAAAACAAAGGAAAATTCAAAATGTACATTTTTAAAGGTAAATGACCCAGGAAATCTGTAAAAAATACTAAATGTTACACATAATGTTTCTATTCACATGACAAAGAAAATCATAAGCGAGGTGCAGCTTCCTTGTTCTTGCCATGCTCGGCTGAAGCACTGCCTGATGGTTTCTCTTCATGAGAGACACGTGAACTCTTAAACTTTTGTCAGTTCTTTTTTGCGATAAGAGCCTGCAGGTGCTCTAATACAATTGGAAGCCCATAATGTACACAGTCCCTCTGTAAATGAGATTTCCAATGAACTTTGCCATTGCGTCTAGCACCACTTATTTTAAGACCCATCTAACTCCACATAAGTTGGCATTCCAATACATGAATACAAGCATATTTTTGTGCCCTTTATGCGCATCGTAATAAAAACAAGAACAATATCACTCACAGTTGTGAAATGTTTGACAATGCTCCGTACTCGATTTGATTGATTGATATGCAGGATTTAACATCCCAAAACCACCATAGGATTATGAGAGACACCGTAATGGAGAGCTCCGGAAATTTCAACCACCTGGTGCTCTTTA